CTGTCTCCAACTAATTGTCACCATTCTTACACTTACTTTCCCTGCTTAGCACAGAGAAGCTCCTCTAATCCCTGACAAACCAATTTTAATGAAAATTACAATGATTAATTCTAAATCCTCAATCTTTGCTAACATAAATCAGTAATTTCAATTGATTATATGAACAACTGAGCTGGCAGATTTGGGCGGAGAGTTACTGTGGGTGGTTGATAAGCTGCTATGCATGGTAAATTCTCCTCAGGTAGCACAACTGCAGCCTGGAGGACACATATACACAACATGTCACAGCATCTCTCACACATTATACAAGCAAGAAAACATACTTTTGAGTTGCAATCCACAGTTTATGAATACACTTATGTGGGAGTTTAGCTGCAATGTGTCTTTGAGGTAAGTTTTAATGAATAACAGTGATTTTAAAAAATTACAGATCATAAGAATGTACATAAATCTCTGCTATTGTTTGCTAAACCATAAGCCATTTTTAACTGGATATATCACTCATAACTCTACAAAGTCAGACATTTAAAGCTTCCATGTATGTAGAAAACCTTGTTAGGAATCAAAAATTCAAGAGAATTTGTGGTCAATAACACAACTCTCTTTGCTAAAATAAATAGTCAATAATTAAAAGAACAGAAGGACATGTCCCTGCACGAGAAGGAAGGTCACTTCATTCTGATCATCCCCCTCCTCTAAGCAAGAGATAAAGAACATGTTTTTCTTGACATTCTCACAAAAAATAGTTTTATCCATGGTTTGAGCTACAAGATTTGCCCATTGGAATAAAAAAAAAGTGCATTAAGAATACATACAATGTACTGGAAGCCATATGCATCTTTTTTCAGGCTAAGCAGATAAGGCATTTACATGATGCTATAAACTACTTTCTCATTTTTACTCATCTGGTCTGTACTTGCTTTGTATCACATTACCACAGCATCACATAAACATAATGCTCTACAAGTGGAAGACATGAGAGGCAAAACACAAATTGTGAAGAAGTGCATCCAGTAGAAAAGCCCCAAATGACATGTAAAAACATAACACAAAAAGGAATCAACTAAAAATGTATGCATAAAATAAGTGCCCATCACTAGGTTTACAGTCAGCATCCCTCCTCTTCCTTCAACAGAAGGGAACAAACTACAGAAAGTTACTACTGAATTCAAACAACATGAAAAAGCTATTAAAATACTTTACAATCCCTCTTAGAAACCACATTATGTTTCTCCTAGTCTAATGATGAATATTGTACTGTCACTAAATAAATCTTTTAAAAACATCACATGGAAGTATTAATATATTCATTCAAAACCAAAAGCTGTTCCAGTAAAGTAAACACTAGAACTAAACTGCAAATGACACTGAACTTGTTTCCATTATACAATACAACCATGACCAATATTCTTCAGAGATTTGCTATAGAGATTGGCTATACTTAGGTCTTACTTTAAGAGTAAGGTTTACTAAGGTCTGATGCAAAACCTATTAAAGTCAGCAGAAAGACATGTTTTGAGAAGGCCTTGAATTACACACTTTTACTGTGAGACACAAATCTGGGAGTCCTAAGCCATACCAAACTGCTCAGATTTTTTATATCAGGAAACACTGATAAACTAAATTGCCATACAAAGAGATAGCAGTCATCAATATATCTGATTTTTCAGTATTGAGACACAGTAGTAAAATTTTCTATTTTTCTGAATCATATTTTGAAGGTGCTTTCTGGTACTTAACTGAAATAAACTTCTGTAGCTTGTACAAGCTATTCTGTTCACCTGCCTGCTTACATTTCTGGTACTCGTTGCTTTACTGTGAGAGTATCTTGTAAACCCTGGAGGAAGCAATGGAAATAGTATCCCTAAACATTATAAGCTTTTAAAAAACATGTTTTTCTAATTATAGAACATTCAAATGTCTGTACACCACAAATGAAACAGAAGTGACTCCAGGAATGTGTATGTTATTTCTTGGACAAACAAAACATAGCGTTAGGCTATATGATTAAACGCCAGTCACAGTGAACACACTGCGCAAGGAACAGAACCCCACTAACCTCATCAGTGAGAACTGGAGCCCACTGAGAATCAGATGCTCCTAAGATGATGAAAGAGAATAATTAGAGAAGCGTCCTTGTGTGAAACCCACTAAGATGAGTCAGGAAGAGCAGCTCGCTCTTTCAAACTAAAGGGGTTAGTGCCTAAAAGAGTTTAAGAGTTACTGGATGTGGGGGAAAAGCATTTTGGGATATACAGCTTTTCTTTGTAAATAGTGGGCTATGTGTCTTTTTGAGATGGTTTCATACCTTCTGCCTCTCTTTTAGCATAAAGCCATTTCGGTGCAGTAGCAAGGAATGTTCTGAGGCTTAGAAAGACTAACGGTAACACAGCTATAGTATACTAACCCCCACTCCCCTACTTTATCTAAGATTCAGTCATCTGCTGCAAGACGTAGACTTAAAAAGAAAAGATAAAGAAAAAAATGGTTCAAACAATTCCTGTTCTCCACTAGTAAAGCTGAAACTGTTTTCCTTGAAATACAATTGTTTAAAATTTGGCTACAATTTGATCCTGGATTTCAGCTTGACGCATATACAACAGTTTCCCTCCTACCTACTATCACCCTTTCCCAATAAGCTTACAGTGGTTCTGAGCGTGTCTACATGCAGTGACTAAAAGGGAAAACTTGAAAACAAAAAGCATATGACACTTAAACACATGTTTATATATGCACACTTAGAAAAAAACCCAAATCTACAATACTATATTCAAACATTACACACTATAGTTAAACAAAGTTAGGAATACATGGTCTTTCCCCTACAGCAATGGAGTAATTAAAAAGTGTCAATAAGAAAACAGATTTGTTGACTTTTTTTTTTTTTGAATACTGGAATATAGGCAGAATTTCATGATCTTGTCCAATTGAAATAGACACATATGTCATTCTAGCTGAAAACGAGAGAAAAAAAATCCATCTGCTGAATTATATTTTCAAGATAACTGTAGCAGTTTGGTTTGTTATTCTGAACTTCTGAAACTAATGCTTGTTTTTTTGATTAAGCAACAGAAAATTTGTGAGCTAGCTGGAAGCTGATCTAAGGTTTCCTGGCTACTATCCAAAGTTAAACAAACAAACAAAAAATTCTGAAAGAGTGAGTTGTACTAAAGTGTAAAAAAAAATAAAAATCCCCAAATCGGTTTCTTTACCTTCATGCTTCCAATAGCAATTGCAACCTGTGAACAAAGCAGCAAAACTTTCTCCTTCTTCAAAATGGCATGTGAGAATTGAGAGGGTTACCCAAAAGATCCGAAACACTGAGCTAGAAAAGTTGCTTAAAAAACAAATGCAAGAAAAATAAATAGTTCATTGCTTGCCTTGCTGACAGGTGAGATAATAACCATTTCTGGTACTACAGAGAACTCACAGATAGACTGGCATTTCAATGGAAGGAAAAACCACACCAGTCCATATGGTTCCCTTAAAACAAAAGCCTCTCGGGTTCATGACCAACATTTCAGTCAGCCTTTAGTAAGAAAAAGCAACAACAAATCATACTGGGTATTTACTGACAGGTGTCAGGAACAATGGTGTTTGTTTTAGAAAAGACTATATAAAATTCTTTCACTACTGTACTTTACTATATATGTAAAAAATACTAACTTCAAACTTAAAACAAAATAATCTTCTCAGAACTAATCCTCATGACCAGAGCATGGAGCCTAATCCAATTACCACTTAAGCACTGTGGAAACTCTTCCAGTTCAAGTAAAAAACATGCACCCCGTCCTGTATTACTGCTACTTACTATGGCAAATTGAAGGAATTTTACTTGCAAAACACTTAACCACCAAAGGCAAAGTTTTGTAATACAGTTTTTAAAGCATCTTACTCAAAGATTAGGTTACCAGTTTTCTAGCAAAAGCTCAGAACCTCTAAACATGAATGCAAATAACCATTATTAAACATATAGCTCTGGTTCAGTGGCCACCGTTGAAAATCAGAGGACTAACAGTGACTTCAAAAGACTGAATCAGACTTCAAGAATATAATATTATTCTTAATACTATGTATTTGCAAGACAGAAGTCTTCAGACAAGTCTTTACAGAGAAATCATAAAAGTAGGAAAGGAAAGTGATTCACCCTTCTTGAAATGGTTGACATTTAATTTTTGCAGTTTAGATATTCAACCATTATCTAGCACTTACTATAAAATGTAAATTGGTATGTATCAGAAAAACTCCAGCATGGTTTTGTGGTTTTTTTTTCCTTTATATATACACGGATTAGAGAGGCACATTCTTTGTTAGAAATCAGCATGAAATTCTGTTGGAACTTGAACACTTCCTTTCACAGAAATTTTTCTGTGAAACTCTGCTCTTCACATAAGGCGGTCATATCTAGTTAAGCAAAACACTCAGTTTGCATAAAATTAGAGCTGCACCTAGTTTAAGATGTATTTTCAAAATACATGTGTCATAAATGCCATCACAGAAAAATAAGCAAGATACTTCTTTTACAGCCTAGAGAAAAAAACTATTTGTTCTGACATTCTATTAAAATTTAATAAGGGCACAAAAGGAATTTGTAACTGTTAGTTCAAAATGATCTAGCTATTCTAACAGTATGTACAGTGCAAAGAACTTCTTACAGTAACATCATGAAGTAAGACCAGCTCTTTCAAAAGGACTCTAAAAATCATTGCTCAGAATGAGCTCTGCTTAGAATGGCAGACATCCAATATATTCACAATTGGCAACAGAGTCTACAGTATTACAATATTATTGCTGCTACTGTAAAGAAAAGAAATGAGGTTGTGATGCTAAATTTTCATGTTAAGCTGTAGGAAACTCTACTTCATTTTACCAAGTATATTATTTCTTAGCTTTGTCATAAGCTCAAGGAAAATGAAAAACAGAGAAAAGTTATCTATTTGTATCTTCTCCTACGGAAATGGGGGATAGTAAAATAAAGTACGAAATCAGCTGGCTTTGGGTTAGTTGGTTAAAAACGTGTGCATCAGTTCAACTTGGGTCAAGCTGCCTTGGTTTGTACTAGCTATCTGTAAAGGCTGACTGAATGAGATCCCTTTCATCATACAGGCACTGCTACCTTTGCTGCAATAGTAGAGGCACGCTTTGATAGCCAGGATAGCTTCAGCTGACAGACAGCTCATGGGCAACTGAAAGGGAATGACAGTTTGACAGGAAACATCCTTTATTTCTCCAGACAGACACTCTCCTTGAAGCAACCAGGTATTATCTGTAAAAGAAGAACCAAGTTTTATCATTAGGATGATAACACCACGTCTGAAACCTACAGAAAACATTAATTTTACCTATATGACAACATGGACTTTCTTTCCATATGCAACATTTGGGGGAATTTCCTCGATTTTTCCAGTTGTGAAGAAAGAAAAAAAAAAAAAAAAGGAAGGAAAAGTAATTTACAAATGCTTCTTTAGCAGCCATTTAAAGATGGAGAGATCCATAGCTTTGCTTCACAACTATTGGTATATATAAGGTTCATCTTACTTAAATACAACGGATCTGCAATTTGTCCTATACACTCTTAAGAAGATACTAAAATTTATTCTGAGATATGCAAGCACAACTCCTCAAATTAATGGGCTGCTATACATTTGTATCAGAGGCATAATACTCCAAGTAAGACAAATGCATAAAACTGCAGGTAAATTATGGCATTTCCAAACAGAACTGTTAGCTTTACAAGTGGGTTGCCGCAAATTAGCAATGTTCAGGCTGACTGTTAAAACAGAACTTGAGTTTCACATTTATTTAAATATTTAAGAGTATGTGAACTGAAAAAAGAACTGCACAATAAATGTATCTAGCTCATTGCACTGTACTCTATTTTACTGTAAGTGAGATGGATGAAGTGCTCTTTTTGGCATTTTTCAGAAAATACCTAAAAGTTGGCTCTAGAATTTATGAGCTTGAAATGACTTGTTGAGTTTAGGTTGCTTACATTCTCCAATTTTACTAACCCTTGAAGCTATCACAAATATCTTTACTTCAACAACATTTGGAGATTCTGTAGGCCAAAAAGTGTGCCGACTCTCCTGGAAATTGTCTATTTGTACTCCAAAAGCACAAACTGGGATGAGAAACTACTTTAAATCATGAGGCATATAAACAAATTGCAGTGCCTGTGCAGCATTTGTTGACTGCTTTTAAAAGCAATCAATTTAATTAAGCTACCACATGGACACTTTGAAAGCTGGCCAACAAAAGACAAGTCAAAAGATGAGAAGATGTTTACTTTCATATCAGTTTAACTGCATCTACAAGCAGGCATAACTATTGAGAAGTATTTATCATTGCAAAAGCCAATATGGCATGTAAATCCAGCCAGAGAACAATTACTAAAAATTAGTATAATTTTAAAATCTAGCAGCATTTCTAAAAATAAATGCTTTCCAATGCGGCACAACGACTGAGTGAACATAACTGAAATATAAATGTTCTCTTTATTGCTTTCAAAAATCTAGTGAAGGTGCAAATGATGCAATTTCAACATCAAAAACTTGACACAGAAACTAAAGAAAATGACATTCTAGGCTCTTCTTTTTTTAAAGCTGTTCAGCAACTCATTAAACAGTCAGTTAAGCTTTCCACTGCTCTATACAGGCTTAGTGGGTATCTTGTTCACTTCCTCCAAAAGGTAACAGTTCTCTGTACCATTCATCACTCCAGGGTGCCTAGAGTCTAACAGAAAACATGTCTGTGAAGTTCAGAAACTTCTTACAGAGTCTGACTGCTAAGTGTCCTCCCTTCACCTTCAAGAACACTAGTTTATGGTTTCACTTAGGCACACAGCACCTACTACAGGATACTGTCATATACCGACATTCCGGTGAGATAAAAAATTTTCTCCTAGACCATAAATGTATTAAACTTAAAACAAACGAGTGACACCAAAGTAACTCCCTAACCAGGCAAAACTATTTCAATGCACAAAGAACGTGAAAAAATATGGGCTATTTTGTATATTGGCTTTCACATAGTACTTCCTAAGGCACAGACTGATGTTCCCTTTTGGGTACAGCTAGACCACTGGAAAGCACTGTATCCGAACACCCACTAATGATCAGCCTGTGCAAGAAGGTGTTTCAGATAACCATGCTATTTTTGTACTGAAGAGAATTTTAGGGAACACTCACATGGTCTATTCTACCAGTCATGTTATGGGCATAGAAATTTCCAGTGTAAGGAAGGCAACAATGGCTAGAATTAAACCATTCCAGTTGTACACCATGTGAACATGTTCCATGTGCTCTTTTAGAATACTTAGGAGTTGAGAGGGATTAATTTAGGCTCAGGAAACTGCCATAACATGAAATAATACTTCCATTATTCCAATATAATAATAGTATTTCCATTTCACAGTAACTAAGGTACATAGTGACTGAAAGAGTTGTACAAGGTCACACAGGAAATCAGCAAAAGAACTTGCAAGAAACGTCAATTATTTCTGCTGCCTTGACATACCAAAAATTTACCTCTTACGTAAGAAAGTGTACCTTATTACAGAAATATTCAAGCCGAAATACACAAATAGGAATTATAACAAAGTAGGTTCAAAGTGGTTAGGTATAAATGTTCCTCAAATACTTTTTGGAAGAGACAAAAGCCAAAAAAAAAAAAAAAAAAGGGAATCTCTTTCAGGATTATGCTTCAGCTTTATGGTGAAACAGAGGGTAGGGCTGGGATGAGCTGTTCATACAGAGTGGAGAGGGGAAGCATCTAAGGGGCAAAAAACTTGACTGTTCTGGGATCAGTACCTTTGCAAGCCTTCACCAGCAGCTTGTTCCAAGAAAGTTAAAAAAAAAAAAATGCACCATGCAGTAATTCAAGCAAAAAGCAGCCCATCAGGTGGTGGTGGTTTGTTGGTCTTTTTTTTTTTTAATCTTCCAGCTGTTAAATGTATCAACTCTAAATAATACGTACCGCATCACAAGGTCAAATGGGAACACAAGACTCGGGAGGGACATTTTGATTCAGACTGAGATCCGTTGTATTGCAGGCACATCATGATATAACCCACTACATATCTTACCTACTCCCGCTCAACTGATAAAACAATGCAGGCATTTACCTTCTGCTGTGATAAACCAGGAACTGGGTGCTTCTTCATTCAGTTTTGAATCTGGAGGTAGAATCAACTTCAATAAAAACTGAATTGTCTGGCCAGGAGCTACAGTTAGTGAAGGAAGCTGAACATTTGGTGCAGATTTAGGCAGTTTGGGAAGTTTTGTTATTTTATCCTTTTGCACAGGCAGGTTATCTGGAACATCACATGCTTCTGGATTCAGGATAGGCAACTATCAGTAGAAATCAAACAAAATATTTATTTTTATTTGTACTGAAAGCAAACAGGCTTTCACAATACAATCACAGTTTCAAAGCTGACATGGACTGGGAAAACTAACACATGATAACATGACGATTGAACTAAAACTTTCTGACAGTGCAATGATACTACAATGACAAAGAAAAAGAGAAGGACAAAATGATTTTTTAAATTAAAAAGATAAAACTGATGAATCCAAATAACAATAGTATTTACTATTAAAATAATAAAATCCCCACCTACTTTAGAGTATCCACTACTTAAAGTATCCTTTTAATTTAAAAAATTAACAGTTGCACTATATTATATAGGCATTTTCTTCTAATTTGGTGCTCAACTGCATGCTTCGCTAATAAAAGCCAAGATTTTAACCGCGTAGATTGCACAGTAAACTGTAATTTCCCAGAAATGCCACCAACATGTTATATGATATGAAAATTTAAACACACATTAAGATACTGTACTATTAAATGCAAGAAACACACAAGAAGACAGTTGGACCATTATGTCATGTATATATGTATACATATATATGAAAACATCTAAGGCATAGTGCCCTTGTGAGACTGACAGGAACAAGAATTTGTTTTGCCTTCATGTTTACAAGCAAATACAGCAGTGCTCAATTATGACAATAGTTTTGATTTGACAACTTGGAAGCCTGGTAAATATCCCACTTTAAGTCACTGACTTCCAAAAATCACCTCTTACGGCTTAATTACAGGACTTGGTAATCTATTTCAACTTCCATTTGTTACAAAGGGATTTGCAAGTGCTCAAGAAATGCTTTTCATACTGAAAAACCGTGCTGTATTTTTTTAATAGCTCATGTTTCTTTATTATTCTTTTCTAGAGGATCATCACTTTCTGTTTTCATGCAAAAGTTGCCTTTCCAAAGACTAAGGTTTTCAACAACTGTGCTAACAGGCAACGTTGATTTGCCAGATCATCACAAAACATTCTGTCAATATAGCTACCGTACCCAAAAAGTTTATTAGCTATATGATTTTTACACTGCTTGCCAAAGTCTGTAATAGTAATATATATCAAGAAAAAAAAACCACTATCAGCCTGTTTAATAAGTATTACTTGCCATGGAAAGAATTTTTGTTTCCAAATCCATCACTTTAATCTGATGATTATTTGTGTCTGCAACATACATCAAGCGGCCATTTTCTTCAACACACAAACCTCCCGGTTCATTAAACGTTGACTGCGTAAAGCTGGCACCAATAACATTGCTTGCTTCTCCTGTGCCTGCCAGGGTAGCACAGTTCTTCATCTTGGGATCTACAACCTTAATCTAAGATAAACAGAGACACAAAAAAACTTCTCTGAAAAAAACCCACCAGGATTTAGAAGTTCTGCATTACCTTACGCCTCACATTTTCAGAAGCCAGCACTAACTTTGAGTACCTTAGCTACCAAGCGTGTGTCCTAGAAGCTAAGTTAGCATACTTTACCAAATGACATCACCCATCTTCCCCTCCGCCATTCCCTGCTGGACTTTACTTCTTCCTTTGGACTTCATTCAGTGTTCTCTTTCATAATTTCTAAGGCACCTACCCCTCTGGTATAAAAGTAGGCTGAACGGCTTGTTTTTCAAATGTTTGTTGCCTTCCTGGAAACATTTGCAAAATAATAAGAGCATAACATAACAGGCAGGCTAACTTCTACATAATTTTTTCTCTAAAAATACATGAGGGCTTTTCTTTCTTAAAGTAATAGCAAAAAAGTTTATAATGTTTTATACAATATCTGAAACAAAATTTCATTTGCCACAAACTTCAATAGGCATTTAGTGTTACACACTTCATTCTTCAAATTAAAACAAATTACTTTTCTTTTAATGCATTTGATCAATGCACAGTTAACAACCTTCTAGACATGAAAGCTTATACAACATCACGTAAGAACACTCATACAAAACAATCTCTTGTCTCATAGTTCCATGGAGGCAATCTACAATACTTCTCAAAACTTCGGTGTTTTTTTTAAGGGAAAAGCAAGTCCTCTTGTTCTCCCAGTTTTATCAAACTCAGTTTTATCTCCTAGCTCTTTTGCTCTAGTTCAGCATCTTCCAAAGAGAGGGAAAGGGTCTTTAGTCTGAACTGTAACTTGGCAGTTTAAATTCACCTTCCCCAAGGGACCATCATATCAACACAGCAGCATGTGATAGCAAAACAATGGTAAAGAGAAGGACACATAAGGGAAGGAAGGAAAGAAAAAGAACCCACAAAAGAACTCATATTGTTTGTTTCCTCAGCTTAACCGAACCAAGCACAATCTTTCTATGTTGCTAAAATAATAGTTCGTAGTAGTAAAAATTGCAAAGCCTGTATATAACAAGCTACTATATGCTTACCTTATGATTATAGGAATCTGCCACATAGAGCAGTTTTCTTTTCTTGTCCCATGTCACTCCCAAGGGATGCTGCAGCTTTGCATTTATGCCCGCTCCATCCACATCACCAAAGGCAAACAAATTCTGAAAAAGTATTTTATTAAATTAATACACTTGATTATTCAGTGTTAACATTAATTTAAATGACTGTAATTGAATGGAAATTCATTAACATAAAAAATAAAAAGTAAAGACAACTTAAAAACAAGGATACTGAAAACTGGGAAGTTTGGATGCTAACCATGGAAATGGAAGCTCTCACATTTAAGTTATCAATATGAAACCAGCTGGCTTTAATGACCACACAATGCTGAATTAAGGTGGCTATTTTAAAAATAAATGAAGTCATTTGTTATCTGAGGAGCAAGAACCTACACTACAACCTGAGCATCACAACCAGCACACATTTGCATTCCAAGCAGTGAAGTTAAGAAATTGATGGCCACGGAAACTGATTTACCCTCTCACCCCAAAAGTGGTTCCTCCAGGTCAGGCTTGAGGAATATTAGTAGGGCAGTGTGGGGAAGTTTGAAGTGATTACCAATGGATCTCTCTCTCCTCCTACAAGGTGCTTCACTGCTCCGTCTTTCAGAGAGATGGTTCGCACAGTGCTGCTCTCGCTATCTGCTACAAAAAGGCAGTTCCATGGTTCCTCAGAAGCCAGAGAGAGACCCGAAGGCTGTGCAAAGCCTGCTTTATGTGGGTATGCGTTGTTTCTGTTCTCTTCATTTCCACTCCCAGCGAATCGAAGGCAGACTCCTTTCTTTAAATCACTAAAGGAAAATAGTACCCAAATTCAAGAATGAGCTTGAAACACTTCAGACATTATGTATAAACGGAAGCTACAGGACAAGCGTTTGGGAGTTATAAAACCAACTGAACTGCAGCACAAGGAATTAGTCAGTGCTTTTGTGCTAACTTTTATTTCACCTCAGTTTACCATTCATCAGTAGATAATTCAGCAAATGCAATGAAAAGCAACATTCAATTATATGAATGCACCCTACACCAAGTCATAATTTTATTGCAAAAGTAGCATCTTTCATTTCATCTAACAGATGTGGGAAAAAGCAGGCAGACTTTAAACACATGCCTTTTAAGCCTGAACAGAAGCAGCAAGCTTCAAGCTTAGTACAGCTTGAGAAAAGTTATTTTTACTGTAATGTGATTATCTCTCTCTTTGGGGTTTGAAAGCTGTTTATCAAAACAAACAGCAATTTTACATGTCTCATTACAGCTGCTTACCTTCCCTTTGGTAGTTTTCCACCTTCCAACATCAGTGCCCATACCTGATGAGTGCCTGCCATCGCTATCCACAAAACATTGTCTTCCTGGGTCCCTGAAACTTTTAAAAATGGATGTATAAAAAAAGATAGGAAAAAAAAAAAAAAACCAAAAAACTTTGGGAATGTTTTCTAAAACAACGAAATCAACAAACCAACCCTGCCACCCCCCTACACCAGCTAACCTTGTGCCACAGGATAAAAATAAAAAAACACCACAGAGAAAAAGGAGGAGAGGGAGAATGTCTTTCATCTACCAAGATCTCTGCTATTTTTCTTCTGTACTCTTCCCAGGGATATAAAAATTGTGTTTTAAATATCTCTACCTGGTAAAGACAATACTTCAAATGGGATTTGCTCTTTGCAACACTTTTTGTATTTGATCCATGTTTCACCCATTATTTTTGTATTCATACTGGCCAACGGATATGTACACATCTTTGCCAAGCATGATTTTCGGTGGGGTGGGTATATTTTTTTAACAAGCTAGTGACAAAATTAGATACTCCAAAAAACTACTGGCAGTTGTATACACATTTTGAGAGAAACAATAATGGCAGTACCTTTGTTACACTATGTACAGAGTACATAATGTTTTTAAGATAAGGGTAACTGATGCTTGGGTGCCATGTAGATTTACACTCTGCAGAGCATCAACTGTTGTTTATTCAAAGATTAGATGTGATGTGAGCAGTTACTAATTTCCTCCTGCACTAACCATCGTTTCCAAGTTGTACTCTCTATGCATATGTACATGTGGTATCACAAATATATAATCTCAAAGTATAACACTGCTATCCACCAATCCAAAAGTATTAAATTACACAAAGCTTGCCCAGATAATACTTCACAAATAAAACGATACAAATGGAAAAAGAAAAACATGTTAGTGCTCTATAGCTTTAAATATATCACATTACAGCATAAGAAAGAATGCATGAAGACAAGCTGTGAAAGACCATTAAAAAACCCAACAAACCCAAATGAAATGTACTTATCTTAGCCTTTTTTGAAAATCTTAAGGAACAGAAAGTTGACATCTAAAAACCACATTAGAATGGGGACACTATTATCTTTCTAACACTGTACTAGTCTATATACATTGTGTACAACTGTTCCATCTAGTCAGGGACAACATTAAAATGTTTTTCTAAATGTACTTATCAGGTATAGGGATAACTATTAGCCAGTCAACGGAAAAATACCTTCAAATTGCTCACAGAAACTTTTTATTCACATGAACTTACAAAACACGATGCTTCTCATAGCTGTTTCTACAAACAATCTAATGGATACACCCCACCCACCCCCCAGTCTGGAGTTTCAAAATAAAAGCAAATACATACAAAATGCTTGCAAGCATTTTAAACCTTAAAGTTAGCCCAAATCAATCTTCCTAAAACGAAATTACCATTCTTCCCCCAACTGAGATCCTGCTATTGTTCCTCTCATCCTAAACCTTTCTTACATTACACACTCCAAGAGGGAAAAAATAGGATCCTTCTGTCTCCAGAATCAATTTCCTCATACTGTGAGCCCTCTTCATAGTAGTACTAATATGATTTTAATGCAGTTTATCTTCAGCCTTTTCTGTTTCTTGGATCAAGATACAAGTTTCCAAGACTGCAATCAAAGGAACTCTGCTGACTGCACCTCCACGTGGTTCCATGTTTTGACACTAACTAAAGCTCCAAGAATAAAAGTCAAACTTCCAAAGAACCGAAAAGGTTTTAGTTGAGCAGGGAGGTTTGCAAAATGAGTTGGAAAACGCGCTTTATGAGTCACCAGAGATTTTTCCAAAGTACTGGCCATGCCAAAAACACCCCAATAAACAAAACCAAAACCCTACAGAATCACCTTTGACGATAGCTTGTTTCTAAGAAATTTAAATTGAAAAAATGGCATAAGAATTAATTTCACTGCTTCTGATATAGCATATCTTCAACTTCAGGACTTCATGTTTCCATGACTCATATCTTGCACTTTTCAGACGCTACTATCCTGAGCACCCCAGAACGTACAATGCTACAATCACTTGCTATGCTGTGCAGTTCATTCTGAGGGATCTCAAAAAGTGCTTTGTTAATTATTTAGTATTCACTTCATCCACCAATGAAATGAAAGAGTAAAACTAGGACTGAGCACTTTAGAAAAATCTATTCCATTCTTCATCTATCCAATGCTCTATTTCCACGCGCTGAAAACTCCCTTGTGACAGCTATACGTTGAAAAATTGAAAAGGTTTCTCACTCTAATTCTCCACACTGAAAGGCTTATCAAATATGAGACACAGGAGAAAATTATCAATATTAATTTCAAATTATACGGAATATGTAAGATCAATAGAGAGAAGCTTCTTTCTTCAACTAGAGAACAAGACAGGAAAAATAAGTAAGAGCTCCATAACCATCATAAATTTTAATGCAACTTAAATGTTTTCTACTGGATGGCAATTAGAACAAAGAGAATGGATGCAAGCACGGAAACAGCACAAGCATACTGAATTGTGGAAAATACGTCAGAACTTTCATAAAAAAATTTACACAAAACCAGAAAAGTAAAAACAATGCCTATAGTTGCACAGCCAAGGTATTTTACCACACAATGGTCCTCCATGCTACGGAGTTTAATGTCTAACGTTTTGAAACAAAAGACAGAAAAAAACACTTCTTTGAGGATAGAACAGTTTGAGGACATGTCACCATTTTCATCCTTGTACTGTTCTCACAGGACAAGGGGGCCAGGAAGAACCAGCATGCTAAAATTATGGTAATGCCATCATTATCATAACTCCTTATCATGCCTGAATGGAAAGAATTTATTTTTAAAGAATTTATTATAAAACAACATAAAAGAACAAAGCAATTCTTTTACATTTATTCAATTAAGTACCACATTCCAACCTATCTTGAGCAGTTTTGAAAATCCAGTGTTGTTTCTCCTTATTAGGGTATGCACTTTCTTATCTTTAGCTCTGCCTGTATCAAAGCAAAGTATGGCTTGCAAATGTGATATACTTAAGTTATAAAGATTCACTAATAATGAACTATAGCTCCACAAGCACCAGCTTTCCATATTATATGATGTTTCAGTGCTTGTCAAGTTCCTGAATCTGCTTCTGCTATAAATCTGTGCTTTAAGAATTCAGTCCTGTTTGTACACATAGTCAACTTTAAACAGTCCAGTAATACTGCTGACCATTAACTGTGTGTCAATCTGAATGCACAGAAAAGACTCTATTTTTGTACCAGCCAACAGCAATATCGTCCATTCCCAGGACTACCCACACTTCCTCAGCTTCCCCATCTGGGAAGTGCATGGTTATTTCCAGTCTGGGAATCAAAAGCCCAGGAATCGAAATTACATTTTGTGGCTGAAACCACTGACATTTTCTAAACAGAGTGAAGTTTGAAAACATTATTCCTGTCTACTAATTGCATTTTTAAAAAATGAAATAACAAGGAAGAAGTCTGTTAGTACACTCATCCCCTGCGAAAACACAAGAGGCAAAAAGGGCTATACAACACACCCTCTGGTTTACAGATAGGCACACTGCCTGTGTGCACATGTGAATGCAAGTCTTGTCTTCACTTAAGGTAGTGGAGGTTTAGCAAATTAAATCCAAATCTGACTGACAGAACAACGACAGAATCATTGTTCTTCCTCAGTGAGACAGAGATAGCAAAGCTCCAAAGGAATGCTTTAGCACCCTAAATCTGGACTGTTACCAGTACACATTATCCTTTTCAGAGGAGTAAAAATTAATTTTCTTTTTTTTCCATGCTACCTGGCACTCTTTGACATAGCGTTGCATCGTGCAAACAGCATAACCCTTTATGAGACAAAATGCTTCTGGAATTTTCCTCCTTAGTTAACATACCTGCCCTCTCATCAAGGGAAATCCCTGGACATAGATACTAAGGGGATGTCATACAAAGGGAGATAAAAGTGAGCTAAAAATGATAACTATATTGAAACACTTTCTCTTTCTTTCCCAAGTTTTCTAACCCAGGCCTTCTGACTGTAACAGCAGTAAATACTTCCAAAAAAAAAAAAAAAATCCAAAGTAGAAAAGCTAGCATTTGTTACCATGGAAGAACTAATTTAGATTATTTAGTGTTGGGATACATCACTATAACTACAGAAAAACTTAAGTCTCGTTATGCGTTTTATTCATTCCTATTTAAGCATAGCAAACACATACACTCGAGGGTACTTCAGCACCGCAGTCTCCCCTGACCCTCAACACCTACATTCCATATTCAAAAACACTTTCAACATCAAATGAGAACAGTTAAAAACTGTGTCTCATTCTGACCCCAGCACGTCTGACAAAGTCTCTGTAAAACTTGTTAAGGATGTTTATTTTCAGCTGCTCCACATCTGAAATTTTGCATTAAAAACAGTATCTGATACCTGAACTTGTGTTTAGAATTCTGATTTGTAGTTGTAACTTCTTTATCATGAGCATACATATAATTCACAGAACAAGACTGTGGAACAAACAGAATGAGAAATCATCATTCTACGTACAAATATATTTTTGTTTTTGGAGGGCATTTCAAGTCACGGACTTCAAAATGTTACTGAGTTTGGCATCTGTTAAGATGATAACTCTACTAATCCAAATGCTTCTTTTTACTGCAGAAAGTAATCATCATCATTCATTTTGTCAAGATATAAAGAAGTCCAATTTACTAGAAAAGTAGACTGTCAAACTAAATTTTGTGGGATTACTGTTGAATATTCAGTCACACCTCCCATTACATTCTTATGCTAAGACTTTAGTCTTTGTATGTTTCTGTCAAAGGCCTGTTTATACCAAAATACTAATGTAAATATTAATTTCTTAACCTGTTTCTATAGTGAATATGTGCAATATTAGTAATTTTTGTTGCTGTTATTATTCAGCAATACCATAAACTCCTTAATCTCTTAGTTTTGGCTTGGAATACAGAATCAGAGCATTCAGTCAACAGTTTAACAAATTTCCTGTAAAGTCTGTTGGACTGATCGCACAAAAAGCTACTAGTTCAGAAAGTTTATCCCTCCTCAGTTTTCT